TTTTCAGCTAAATTTTTTTTTGTTTAAGGTGGGACATTTTACGAGAATTCAATTTTTAAATCTTAGATAAAGATAGAAAAATTCTTATGAATTTATCAGAAAACACAAATTTTCTTGTTTTTGACAAATATTGTCAGAATTATAACTTCAAATGCATGAAAAAATTAATATGAAATGTTTTTTTCAGTTTCCACTACAACAACAACTTATTTTGGACACTTTTTTAGTAGAAAAATGCTCTGATTATCCACCTCAATGGATATTTCTTGTACTAAATTGATAATATACCTGGTATTTTTGATTAGTCAAAATAGAAAATTCTCAATATTTTTAAAAATATTTGGGAAAAACTAAAAAAAAATTATGAAAATGTCTTAAAGTTTTGACATTATTATTAAAATAATTGCTTGGAAACAAACCGAAAAGTTAAACTGTCTTTGCTCAGAATTGTTTTTTCTTCATATAAGCACAATGATTAACAATTAAACAGTACCTTGAACCAAATTTTCAATGTCAAATTAACACTGTTAAACTGTCTGTATAAATCAAGTGTTTCTTATTATGTTTCTTTTATATAGATAATAATATAATTGTATGCCAATAAAAAATTTGAGATCATGTTATGGTATATTAGAGGTGCTTACTGCGTATCGCAAACTGCAAAGTATAAATACAATACGATATACAACTTTCAATATGTATAAAAATATCAAATGTTCAATGTGGCCCAGGATTTAAAAAAAGGGTTGAGCACACCTGCCCCATAGTAGAAATTACACAGCATAAATAATATTAACAAAACTATTTTTGGCACAAGACTGCATTTCAATTTTCCATGTGTGCTGTTTGTATATTAATTAAATAGAAATTAGTGTATTCATTTATTCATTTTTCATAATCAAATGCCTCTCTTTGTTCGATTCAATTTTAAAACTTCTATAATGTATTATTAACATTTACATTAAACTTAGGATGGATTTATTATAATGGTTTAAAACTGGCATGAACATTAATCAGTTGCAAATTCTGTAAAGATACTTTAAACTTTTAAAAACTAGAAAATAAATAATTAAACCCTAATAATTGAATAACAATGCGTTATATATTTATATCTAAATGCATATTGAAATTAATTATGAAAATATTTATTAACTTAAGTCTTATACATAAACATTTTATGCTGAACCTTAACCATAATAATATTACCAATGTTTACTTTTATCTAGGGAAATGTAATTTTCAGGAGTTTAATAACCTCAGTATGTTTTGATCAACATTGTATGTAGTAATATAAATTTCATTTCAATTAAGTAAATATTAATTACTAATTGATTATGCACACAAACTATTATTTTGATTTTTAAAAAATATCTATAAAAGTTTTTAGTAAATTAAAAATTTTCATATTTCTTCAAGAACAATAAAATTATTAATTAAGAAAGAAATGCATTGGTAACCAGCAGGCTGTAGAACAACATATGTAAATAAAAAGGCTAAATTTGTTAATCATTTTCTTATAAACGAAGCAATTATATTATTTGCTCTTTAACCCACAAAAATATTTAACTTATAGTCGTTCAAAATACACAATTAGTTCACAATGTGGTGTTTGAGGAAACATATCAACAGGTACAGCTTTCACTGGTACAAATGGAGCACCTTGTTTAGTTTTAGATTCAGCCATGGACAAAGATAGAAAGTTTTGCATCGCCCCTTTAGGGTTGCAAGACATGTAAACTAATCGTTTCAAATGGGTCATCCTTCGTAGAAGCAATATTGCTTTGTTATCTATAATGCATTAAGTTAAATTAGTAATTTAATGGTTTGTTATCAATGCAAGATATTATGAAGCCAGTGGCTTGCTTACGTAGTCCTGCTCTGGGTGGATCAACTATAGCAACTACATCATTAGCATTCTCTGGGTTCTGAAATTCACGTCTGTTCATTACTTCTTCAGCTTTCCCAGCAAAGAATATTGCATTAGTGATACAATTTTCAGTGGCATTTAATTTTGCCATATTAACTGCTTCTTCTTGAATTTCTACACCAATTACTTGAGCACAGTCCTTAAAAAAAAAAAAATTATAAATGATAAATTTTCACAGTTAACTATATAGTATATTTGAATTACCTTAGCTATAGACAGGCCTATTGTACCAGAACCACAACATACATCTAATACGGTAGTTTGTGAATTAATAGAAGCTAAATCTTTAGCAGCGTCAAACAATATTTCAGAAGCAGCTGTATTTATTTGAAAAAAAGATTCAGGTGAAATTCGCAACTTAAGGCCTTTTACTTCTTCAACAATATACCCCTGTCCATGTAACAATTCTAAGGGAAATGAATTTCCTTCACCAGCACTAAAAAAATATTTTTATAACAAATAATAAATATTATGAATCATTCTAATTTTTTTTTAGTAAATCAGAATTATAGCTTCCAAAATATTCAGACTGGGCTGATTTGTTAGTAATATAGGGACTTTTAAATATTATATAATAATATATTAATTAATTTTTAGCTTGAAAGGTATAACAGTACTTTTAGAAACGGGTTGCTTCCAATGCTATCTTTTATGTAAGACAGAAGTATGTACTTAATAATTTTAATTCTTACGCTCTTTTTTTTGCTTTTTGGAAGTAAAGAGAATCTACTTTACAATTAGCTCCAGCTCCTTCAGTAAAATAATTCAAGATTAATTGTTTCAAAGAATTCAGGGCTGAGTCTTCCATATTTTCGGTGTGTACTACACAAATTAACATCAATTGTTCAGTTTTTAAGCTCAGTCTTACAGTTAACTGTCGCCAATGACCTGTATAATTTTCAGGATCAAATACAGGAAATTTAGAAGCTCTAACCAAATCTTGAAAACACTAAATAACAAAAGTATAATAAATATTACACACTTCATGAACATATGATAGAATTTTCCCATATTCCTATGTTAGAATTATACATAGGATTTATTTCAAGATAAAAACTTACTTTAACAACATCTTTCATACGTTGAGGAACGTTTGAAATATTATCAATAGGAGCAACACTAGTTTTCCCCTGATTATATGCACCAACACGAAAACCAACAACTGGTTCTTTATTTTCTACGTCCATACCTAAAATTACAATATAGATATTATACTCAATGAATAATAGTTCAAAGAAGGTTAATAGTTATCTCTATTTTTCATAAAGTTAAGAATATAAACAAAAATTATTTTTATACATTTCCAAGAAAAAGTAAATTAGCCAATAAAAAATAATGTACATTTTCTTTACTCACTCAAAATTTAAATTTTCAAGTAAAATATAACTTGTTTTAAAATTATACCCAAACAAATATGACAATAATCTTATTTATATATAATTTAATTACACCAAATACTTTACCTATAGTAAATTCGCATTTATTTCTATAACCAATACATTTCTCTGGATTGTCTTTAAGGCTTCGTATTTCCAAAAGTTCACATGGGAGACCATTATTTACATCCTGTTGTTTTTTTAACCAATCAAGTATATTTTGACCACCCTTAATTCGTTTCAACCGTCTACTATAATCCATAAGAACATTTTTAATTGAATTGGTTTTTTGGATCAACTGAAACCAATGAAAATATATTCTATTATATTGATAAATTCATATTAAAAATTTAAAGATATACAAAATTAAGTAATAAAATTAAACTTTGTCCTTGATATTGTAATAATTAACAACTTAATTCATAGTAAGCAAATGGATAATTTTGCTAAAAAAATTTGATAGCTAAAAACCAAAGTTATGTACAAAAGGTCAACAAACATTGGGCAATTTTTCTAGTACATCTTTGGGTAACATTCAATTTGTTATTTTCCAAATTAAATATAGGTGTATAATTATCACTCACTTGCTCGGGATAAGATATGTTATATAAAGGTGTCACAGCACTAATCATCTGTTGTTCTGCACCAGCATTGTCCAATTTAACTTTCTTTACGTCTGGACATTCATCAAATTGTTCATTACGTTTTTTTACTAATGGATCAGGAACAGCTTTGGCATTCTATGATGTTTGAAAACCAATAAAAACCAATTGAAAATTATGCATTTATAGGATACTTACACTAGCATCTAATTTTGTATTTTTCCAATTATATCCATTTAAAATACCCAGAGCTGTATTTTTGTCTTCTTCTGAACGAAAACACATATAGAGCCACTTACCATTACGGTTAGGGGTCTTAACTTTAGAACAATTTAATTCCAACTTAATATTAATTAACTTTTTGAACTCCTGAAAATGTTTAAAAAGTAATTTATTAGTCTATTTTTATAACCAAATTGTAGTCATTAATATTGATATTTCATAAATTATGTTCTTTGGTAGGTACTTACAGCAATTCCATAATGTTTTGGAAGGTTTCTTATTTCTATCTTGTACTTTTCAGAAGTGAAATCATCCCTATCTAAATAAGCGAAAGGATCTTCTTTTGCCACTGATTCAGTTTGTTCTACTTTTTTTTCTGGTCTTACTTCACTGTCTTTTTCCTTCGATTGTATTTGAGTTTTTTCGGCTAATGAATCCGATTGATATTCTTTTTTAACTGGTTCGATTTCATTCACTTTTTCTTCAGATTTTAATTGAATTTCTCCAGCTATTAATTCTGATTGATATTCTACTATTTCTGGTTCATTCACTTTTTCTTCACATTTTGTTTGAATATTCTTGGCCACTGGTTCTAAACAACTGTCAACATTTACTTCCATCGTGCAAATAGTTAATGGTTTTTCCTAAACTTGTAATGGGTACCAAATCGTCAAAATTAATACAAATAAAAATTCGATTTTATAAATAAATCGGGTCTCTCATTAAATATAATATTTAATTTATTAAATTCAAATTTAAATTTTATAACCAAACATAAAATTATTGTTAGTTGTTAGTTGTTACCAAATTGATATCATTTTGGATGAGAATTGATAATATTTCACGTGTTTTTGTTGTTGTACTTACTGACAATAATATTGTTAACAAAAATTATTGTTATCTATAAAAAATTAAAAATCTAAAAAACTTTAGTGGTTGAACGCATATTTACTTCATAATAATATTTATTAAAGATTTCAATAAGTGTGCCCTATTTTATTCATTATGCCACAGGGAAAATTCAAAAATAAATCACAAGTTACTTTTTCGAAGAAAAAGAGGAACGAACCAAACAAAAGTAGAAAAGGTAGGTAATTTTTGCTTTGAACTATTTCATAAGGGATTTCATTACTAATCTATATTATATTGGTGTATGTGATTATATGAAGTGTAATTACATTAATTGTATACATTATTCTGTATAGCATGCCCAATGCCTTCAAAAAAACATAAGTATGAAGAAGGTCAGAGAATTAAACGAATGATAAGTAAAAATGTTAACAAATTGGCTGAAGACGATTTAAGATCATTGGCTATGGATAACAAGAAAGTGTTTCTTTCGAAGAAGAAGAAGCAAGTTGCACAAACAGTTCAAGCTTCGACAGATCCTAAACCTAAACAAATTAAGGTTACACAAAAATAAGTTTGTTATGTTAAAATATGTATAATATAAATTATTTTGAAAATACATAATTCAATTTTTTTCACTATATTGAACAATAAAGTATCTTATTAATTATTGATAACATTTTTGTGTTTTGGTTTATTAAATTTGACAAAACATACTAATTCATTTAAAGTTATTTGTGAATATTGACTGCTTACAATATTAATATGATACAAAGATCTGATCAAAGCGTGAACATATTTCAAGCTTTATTGCTATTAATTGTTATTATCTGAATATGCATAATTGTTAACTACTGATTGCCGTAAAATATATATATTATATATATAAATAATATGCAAATATGAGATAATAGACATTTCACATCTATTCAGGCACAATATCATATTGACAATCAAATTCAAAGGATTATAGTTATACTTTGTCTAATATGCTAACTATAACACATTGTAATATAACTCAATCATCATCAGTTATATTGAAAAGTCTTAACAATACTTAACTATGTTGACTACCGACCATTTTGGCACCAATCCAATATGTAAACTATGGACTCATTTTTGGTCCAATATATGACCTGCACTGAATTCACTATAAATAATGAAAACTTACACATATCTAACAATAAAAAGTATAATAATTATTAAATGCTATCTGCCCGATCTTCCTCCGGAAGGAATTATTTTTTTTAAATTTAATTTAAAAACATAAGACTATTTTTTGGCTATACAAATAATACAACGATTATGAAATAAATAAAAAAAAAACAGACATCGTTATCGGTGAATATATGAAAATAATTGGTAATTAGTTAATTATTATTATTATTATAATGAGGGTTCAAAACCGGTTTCCTTTGTCTCCAAAATCAAGTTAGATTCTTGTATATATAGATTAAAATATATAAATGTTTCTGAAATGCTGTATGTTACTGATATTTATCCTTAGGGCCAGTTATACCGTCTACGGTACACTTCGATTACGCTTAATCAGCTAATAACAGATTTTATAACTGGCCAAATTCGGCCGATTAAACTTCAGTTAACTTTAATCGGAGACGGTACAACTGGCCCTAAGTATCCTATTATTCCTAAGTTGCCAAATTTGTGTAATTTATTATTGGATCAGGAGATCTCCACCACCCCTATCATGGTAATAAAGTATAGTTGCAGTTTTTGCACCATTTACTCTTAATTTAAATCGCTTAATCGGAATTTCTCATAAGCATTCAACAGTTTGGATATTATTTTAGGTTGTTAATATAACAGGTAGATATAATTGTAAGCCAATTACTGAGTATGAATTATTAAACTTGCACATTCATAATTTCTAAGTGTAATAATAAGTTAAATTTATTAGTTCAAAAAAATACAGCATATTAGGTATCCAAAAAACTATAAAAATATTTTTTATATTTAATTTTGGCATTAGGTATATATTTATATTGTTGTTTTGTTGTCACATAGCTTTTATAACATTTTAAATTGTCATCATCGACAATAATAATTGGTCCATAAACCAATGGATTGATTACCACAGAATAAAAATGTTGCCCCCCTCTCTCCCACAAGAACCTTAAAAAAGGTGTAAATTCTGGTTCTTCTGTGTTATTATTATTATTTTTGTTGTCTTATTCACATGTATGTATTCATATTCTATGATATGAGTAAAGTTTAAATCTTCGATATACCTACATATGAAATATATATAGACATTTTAATGTTATAGGTATTAGATTTTATGCTGTATTATTTAAACAAGTACCTATGTGAAATTGTTACAGTGTTACTTAATGGCTTGATAGTATATTGTATAAAAATTAGGGAACTAACTGATTAATATCAGTTATAATTTTTATTTTTTACTCAATACAAACAAAATTATTAAAATTACATTATTTTGTAATAAATAAAATAAACTGTTACCTAGTTATATTATTTGGTTAACATATCATACAAAATACTTAGGGCTTTATGCATATTGTACAGTGGATAAGTTGACATAACTGTTATCTGGTGAAAATAAGCAGTCTAAATATATTATTACTTAGGGAGGCCAAGAAACGTGCAAACAATTCAGTCCCCATATACCAACGGTGCCACTTAAAAAAAAATTATATATTATCAACTATGTGAACATTTCTCCACGTGATACTGGCACTAAGGCTATTTTTATGTTTTTACAATAATTAAAACAATTAATATTAACCAACATAACGGGGGCTTGGTCAAACCTCCAGCATCTTTCTATAAGCGCCCTTGATCAATAGACCGCAATAGTCAATACTCAATACCTATACTCATCATTCAAATAGTGTTTTTTTAATAGGTAATTAAAATAATCATGACTACACGGCGTTTTGGATAGGCTATTTAGGTGCATTAGAGACGTGTTTCATTTTTCTTGTATTTATCTCACAAATCACAATGCATTATATGTAATACCTAATATAGTAATATTATAGGTACAAATATTAATAAGTAATAATAATTAAAGTGTGCCTAATTATGCTAGTATGCTACCCAAATTAATGTACAATTATTACTTATATGAACTATTAGTCAATATATAATCCGTCCTGTAATTCTGAAAGGCTGAAGTAAATTATAGGTACTGAAGATCAAGTAATTACTAAAAATAAAAATGTAATTTAAAAGAAAATGTCATAATACATTTTAACAGTTTCATTGAAATGTATTTACTATTCAGTATCAAGAAGTTACAATCATTTTTTATAGATACTGAATAGTGAATAGTGACTATCAAAATGTAAAACGTGCAACTAGTTCTTAAAATCGAAAATATTTTTTCCGATTTTGATTTCGGTTTCGGTTGTCGGTATGTACTTTTTCCGATTTCAATTTTGGTTTTGATTACGGGTGTTTATTTTTTTTCGATTTCACTTTCAAATTCGTAATCGATTTTGGTTTCTAATGGTTTTAATCGGTATTCAATATCAGTTTCAACTTTCAAGCACTGCATTGTCTGCATTATTACGTACTATTATAACTAGTTATAAAGCTAAACAACATGCATACATTGCAAAATCACATGTATTTTATATTATGCTATTCATTCTATCTTCTTTTATTTATAGAAATATTCACGTCGATTAAATTATTTTTGTGTTAGAATTAACAAAATGTAATGTTGTGTTATTTGAGCATATAATTACCTTTATTATTGTTTTCATATTAAGGTTTTATTGTATTAGATATTACCCTGAATGTCCATAACCCATTAGATTCGATGTATGATCGATATAATTGCAAAATAGTATTATAAAAAGCATATATGACCGCTCTTTCGCTCCTATATAAGAATATAAAATAGTGGAAATCAAAATTAAAACAAGTCATTAAAGTATATATTATTATTACATTATATATATAGATTGAAGAATAAATATATTTTATGTACATTATTAAATGTAATTTATTAATATTATTGTATATTAATTATATTACGTAAAACGTAAATTAAAGTTACGACAATATTTGATGTTAGTATAACACTATAACAGACAACAATATAGATGATAATATATAGTATTGGACGTAAAATATATTAATTGTATTTAATATTTTTATCCACAAACAATCAAATTCTTGTATTTATCTTTAGTAATACTGGGCGTGGAATTGTTTTCCTTTAACTTTATAACGCCACTTTTGGAACCTTTTATATCATGTAATAACCTGTAATAGTAATAGCATAAAAATATAATATTTATGATTATACTAACCCACTAAAGGCTATATAAAGATTTAACAGTATATAACGATACGTTTAAGCAGGCTAGGTTAGGCTAGGTTACAAAAGTTTGGCTTTTTATTTAGAATTTAGATATACTTACGTTTGATTGACACCTAGTGTGTTAATATTTAACAACTTATAGTCGCCAGAGATGTTAATAAATTTAGTAACAAATTCTATTAAATATGGAACTTCAAGAATTATATCACCCTGAAAAAGAAACAATTTATATAATACCCATAGGCCATAATACCCATAATATTACATTTAAGTGAAAGCATAGCTCATATTGGCAAAAATTTCGTTTAATTGTAGAGGGTTTTTTACTTTTTTTATGTAAATGGTTAATCATCCCCATTACTCACCCCCTCTGTTAATGCTTTAAATATTGTTGTTTCCTCAATAAAAAGTATATCATTTGTTGAGAAGTAAACAATAATAAGTATAGAAAACATACAATTGAACATAACATATTTTTTTTAACAGCGAAAAATAAAAAAATATTAACCTATCACGAGTTCTTCGAGGAACTAAATACAGACATACAGTTCTCCTTTACAACTTCGCTAATGGCCAATGGGTGTTTGAAAAATTATTCAGTTAGCCGTATTCTTGGAACGGAAACTATTTTACGGTTAATAAAATACTTATTTATAGTATTGGGAATCATTTAAGGGAAATATTGCTTCCCCTGCCACCACTAATTGACGTCTATATGACTATATGGATAAATCTACTATTTGTTATAATTTTAGTAATATTTTAATTATTCTATATACACATTTATAAACATAATTCTATTATTTATTATTTAGATTACATACATACAGTAGAACTTTAATATAGAAGGGATAAAATAGTAAAACTGTAAGTATCTAAACAGTGATACGTTTTTAAGGTAATAATAGTAATATAATTATATAGTAGACATATATTAGTATTATACTCATTAGTCATTACTCATTATAATAATAGTTTATACTTTAATGTTATACCTTGTTGTGTTTATATTGTGGTGAAATTTTGATGAGAAGAAAATTATCCCTTCCCGAAGTGACTTCTAATTTATTTATAAAATCCAACGGTATCTTTTCTTTGGGTTTTAGTTTGTTTTTAAGTATTTGGTTTAAACATAAAGATTTGTTCGTCAGTATCAACAGTCTAGTTCTTCGTTTGTATCCTTTCCGGTCAAATTTTGTCACTTTGACACCATACTATAGAAAAAATCAAAACAATTTAACAACATTTGCAGTTCGCAAAAGTATACAATAGTATGTATGTGCAATTATAAATATTTAAACTTCACTTCTTACAAGATACAGCAAACAACATCGCAAAATGGTCAACACAAACCGGTTTCAAGATCTTCAGCCTAAAATCTCAATGTATTATATTTTCCAACAAAAGAGGTCAAAAGCACATCAACATCCAGCTAAATAACAAATACATCCCAAACGTAAACACAATTAAAATTCTCGGAGTTCATTTCGACAAAAAAATCAATTGGTTACAACACCTAAAACAACTAAAAATATCACTGACAAGAAATCTCAACATCATGAAAATGTTAAGTCATACCACGTGGGGAGGAGACGAAGATACGCTCATAAAAATTCACAGACATCTCATCAGAGCGAAAATGGACTACGGTGCAACAATCTATCAATCTGCCAAACCCCACCACAAAAAAATAATAGATACTTCTTTAAACGCCAGCTTAAGATTCGCCATTGGAGCTTTCCGATCTAGTCCCATCGAAAGCATTCGGAACCTAGCACTCGAACCCCCCTCTAAGCTTAGACACAAAGAAAAATCACTACTCTACGCAGCTAGCATCACAAGATACTCTAGCAACCCAGCAAACAAATGTATTACAGAAATCAACAAGTACGCCAAAGATCATGGCATAGATTTCAATGCGATAATGAAAATTCATCCCCCAGATTTCCCCCCATGGTCCTACAATTTCGATATAAACCTGGAATTAACTAAATTCAAAAAAGAGCTGACTCTCCCGATGACCTATAAGAATACCTTAAACGAAATACTCCAGGATCACAAAAATGCAAATCGTTACTACACTGATGCCTCTAAATCAGAAAAAGGTGTAGGAATCGCAATCACCAATCAAGACTTCACTATCAAATTCAAACTCCCCAAAAGCTGCTCTATATATACGGCAGAAGCCATAGCAATTCTCAAAACAGTAGAACACATTTTTCTTAAAGAAGGCCATGGTAACTTCCATAAAAGCAATCTAATCCTGTCAGAATCACTTTCAACACTCATGAGCCTCAAAAACCCTTCCAACACCACAGATATAGCAAAACTTATTCTGCAAAAAATTAACCTAGCAAATAATGCAGGAATCAAAATTTCACTAATATGGATCCCGGGGCACAGCGACATAGAGGGCAATGAAAAGGCAGATCAAGAAGCTAAGAAAGCAGCAGAGTACAATGATACCCCCTTTTTAAATATTACTACATTTACAGACATAAAAAACCAAATAAAAGAACTAACTAGAACCAAATAGCAATCACACTGGCTCGAACAAGACACCAAACTGAGAAGAATAAAAAACTCCATATTCAGATGGCCCAATTCCCTCGCAAAAAGAAGAGAAATAGTAATCATGAATAGACTCCGTATCGGGCATACTCGTCTAACCCACGGTTACCTCATGACCAAGGATGAAAAACCCTTTTACTCAACCTGTGGCACCGATCTAACAGTACACCATATCATAACAGAATGCCGACGATACAGAGAAGAACTCGATCAGCTGAACATACCAACCACTTTAGACGCAGCCCTCGGACCAAACATTGACACCACACTTCAAATCTTAGTATTTTTAAGGAAACATGATTTGTACAACTTAATATAAAAAAAAAAAATATTGTAATTCTTAATTAATTATCAATTGTAATTTTTATAACGTCTACGACTAATGGCCTTTGATGCCGATGTCTATTGATCAATAAAAAAAAAAAAAATATATTTAAACCGTCGATCACACGTTTCCAACTAAAAAAAATCCAAATTGGCTCTAACACGGTTATCAAATAGATACTCATGAAATTACAAGATACAAAAACAAAACTATAGATTTTTACTTCTTATATTGCGCCAATTGTGTGTACATAACATACTTGTCTAATGCATATTATTATTTGTATAGTTTTAATAAATAATTAATTAGCATAATTCTTACAAGGTATTTTTCATTTAGAGTGCGCATAAATGTCATTTTTAAATACTTCTCTAATGAATTCAATCGTTCGACCAAAAACAAACAACGTGTATTACATTCGTAGCTGCATTTTTTGTCTGAAATTAGGTATATAATTATTTTTCGTTAGAATTAATTATGTTTAAATAAAATCATCTAAAGAATCTAAAGAGAATTTTTAAGAATAAATTGAATTAACTACCTTTAAAAAGATATTCAGCGAGCATTTTCAGTTCCATTTGTTTTTTGCGTTTTAAATCTTGTGAGATTTTGTATCTTTTATTTTTCCAAATCATATGAATTTTTCTCAATTTATTAGTTGCCTGAAAACCGTATGATATAACCGGAGTATAATATTATATATTATTTTTAAATGATCAGGTAATGCGTTTAATTCTAAATTATAATTTAAACTGTTTAGATACATATATGATATATAAGTAATATAAACTAGACAAAATAATGATTTTTAAATTCCAAATTAAAAAGTTGAACAATTCGTAGGTAAAACCGTAAATGAAAAGAAATCAATTTGACCATTTTTAGGTTAATATCTTACAGGAAAAATTTTCAAGAAAAGTAGTTTTAATCATTAAAATATTTGATTTTGATTGTTTTTTTACTAAATTGTCCATGAAAAAATGAAATGGCCTATTCGTTCGATGCAGAAACTAGAAGTTTATTTGTTTTGTGATTTTGACTTATTCCCTTATTACCCATGCACCACTCATTTAATTCAACGATGATAAACAAATTGTATTTGTTTGTATATCATCTACTATTATTCGGTAATCAAACAGTTATTGAATTATTCCTTTGTAAATGATGAATCTAAATAAAGTGAGTAGGTAGGTACCGTAGGTATAGGTTACTTACACTTATATTCGTTACTATTTAGGACTTACTTTGATGAATATTTTTTTATGCCATCCTCCGGGTAAAACCCTCAAATTTGGCAAAGACCTTGTGAATCTACGTACAATTTGCCTTCGGGTGTGTGTAATAAACGCCCTCTTAAAAGAAAATTCTCCGTTTACCATTTTATTACTATAATTAACACAATTTTTAATTTAATCCACTTGTCATACAATAAATGTAAGCCATCACAAATAATTAAGTGAAAAAACAAATATATCACAACTATTCGTATTCGTCTATCTAAATATAATACCAAAAATAAACATAGAACTTATACGTATTATACTATCCAGTACACAACACGATTTAGCTTTAGTATAATATTATTGTATATTATAGCTCCTTCGAAATGCCTTGACCATTGCATAACAGTATAACACCATATTAATATGCCCTCTTTAACTGCTTTGACCTCAGTCGAATTGAACGTTTTAAATCGAAATGTATGGTGCAGAAAAATATACAGATCGGTAGATCACTGTATTGAATTAGTCCAATTTAAAATACATAACGTTTAATGGTGTGGTTTTAACTGGTTACCCACGTATACTATACATTATTATATTTTAAATAATATTTTTTAAGCATTTTTTTTTTAAAAATCATAGATACCTACTAAATAAAAGTTAAACTTATTATATTATATTTAATCAACAATTAAATAGATGAATGCATTCAAAAAATTAACGTATTCATTATAAAAATATGTACAAAGACAAATTGTGTGGGAAGGTAATTTGAAATGTTCAATTGCTTTTTTAAACGAGTTTTTCAGAAAACTGAAAAAATTCAACAAACGTTTCATGATACCTCTGAAAAAAAAATGGGCAATGAACACTAATTAATTCTTGATGGTTAATTTTTCGAATAAACATTATTAATATTAAGATATTATTATATTAATAATAATAATAAAGGTATCCACATACTGCAAGCTAAGTATAGGTATACTCCAAATAGCCAATCTACAGTCACAATGATAATAGGTACACATTTTATACACCTAATTTAAAAACAATTAAAAATCTAATAATCATTTTATAATATATTTTTTATCTATTGGCCCATATTCTATAAGATATATTAAATATATTTTATGCTTTATTGTACAGACTTCAGAGAAATGCATGTATTTGCGACTTTCCTTTACTATACTTTAGGCGGAGAGATGAACGAATAAGTAGAAAATAACATAATATGCTTGGAAACATAGGCTGACAGACGCCACTCGTGTAAATGATTTATCATTGTATTAAAATTTAACACATTCATTACACGCACATTACTGCAATAATTACAGTGACGATTTACCTAATATAATGACACCTGTGGAATCGCAGCAGATCGATCCCCAATATCTTACAGTTATGTACTTATGTAGGTACTAAATGTAGCAATGTAATAGGTACCCATCGAAAGAGGAACGATAATTGTTGTAACTCTGCAAGTGGCAAGTAACTACAACAGCTCACGGTTAATAGATATCTATTAACCGTGAGCCGAACTGGCATCTGGCAAGTGCAACAGATGTTCGCTCCTATCATTCCTAAAGTTCAGGTCCTTACTCACTATCATTTTGTATCCACCACGATATCAGATGGGCTGCAACACGTGTTTTCTATTTACACACAAGATTGTCCGGTTATCAGACTATCGGCGTTCGAACTGTAATAAAATGAAATAGGTGAAATGTAATATTTAATAATACAACTATTATGCAACGGATTTCGCCCAGTCCTGAGTCCAATGTTGATCGAATTTTTATCGTGGACGCAACAGTGAAATGTGTCGAATGAAAGTAACACGTCATCAGTATTGGACCTACGCTATAGCTTAACTGCCAGTCTTGACTGAGAGGTATCTTAATATAGATTTATCGTCATTTCAATACGAATATACGATTGTCGAACGTCTTTATAATTTTTTTGATTTTACGTTAATATTCAATTAATATACAGCTTGAACATGTACGACTGGATCGAGAACGTCGTAGAACTGGAATCGAACATTGGCTCGTATCCAAATCCAGGAACCAAAGTTTTTCAATACGGCACGTCGGGCATTCGTTATAAGTGAGTTTGGCGATAGTGATAGGCGGTCACTCTATGTGCAATCAACTTTGTAATAGGGACTAAATACTAACTTTTTTCAGTTCTGAACACCTGGACCATGTCCAGCATCGAATGGGCCTATTGGTCGCTCTGCGCTCAATACATTTGAAATCGGCAGCAGTCGGGCTAATGATAACAGCCTCGCACAATCCGCAAGATGATAATGGCATCAAACTAATTGACCCTCAAGGAGAAATGTTGGACAGCTCTTGGGAAGTGTATGCCACCGAATTGGCTAATGCCCCAAACAACCAGGATGTATGTGCCACGCTCATAAATATTGCTAAAAAATATAATATTGACAAATCATACATACCTCGTGTGTACATCGGTCGCGATACTAGGTGAGTGGCTTCCCTTTAACATTCTTGTATGTTTTGCAGATTTATTTTTATAATAATTATATTTTATAATATGTTTGTTTTTAGAAATTCTGGTAAAAGATTATTGGACGCTGTGCTTTGCGGTGTTAAAGCTTTTAAAAGTAATGTTGAGGATTTTGGCATAATAACAACACCAATGTTACATTTCTTTGTTAGATGTTATAACACCAACTGCCTATACGGTCAGCCAAATGAACATTCTTACTATAGTAAATTAACAAACAGTTTTAAAACTTTGCGTAAAATGGCAAGTAACTTATCTACTTAATTAACTGATGAAAATATTATTGCTGTCATTATCAATACAATATATCTGCCTTAGTGTTTGGATTTGAAAAATTATAGCCCTGTAATAGAATTTGATGGTGCTAATGGGGTGGGTGCTTTAAAAATGAAAGATGCAATCATATATTTAGAGGAAACATTGGTGATTAATATGCATAATGATGACATATTGAACACAGAAAAATTGAATCACAAAGTATGGTTATATATTTTTATTTTAAGTAAAATGAATGGATAATTTTTCATTAATTTATTTAAGTGCGGTGCAGACTTTGTGAAATCAAACCAATGCCCTCCTACTGGGATGACTATTAAACCATACTCAAAATATGTGTCCGTGGATGGAGATGCAGATAGAATAGTTTATTCTTTTATTGATGAAAACAACAAATTTTATTTATTAGATGGTGATCGAATTGCTACACTTGGTACTACATTAAAACTTATTTAAAATTATATTCAATTTATTTTGTTATTTGTTAATTTAATTACTATTTTCCATAGTGGCTGGTTATATAAAAGAATTATTCGACGCTTCTGGTCTTGATGTCAACGTAGGGTTGGTACAAACTGCTTATTCAAATGGAAATTCTACAAAATATGTAACTGATAAGTTGGTATGAATTTTTTTTTTGTTCATTTATTTTATAGATAACATAATTGATATAAAATGGTATTCTAAAAAAATATTATTCTAACAGTTCTTAATTATTAAAGTGTAGAGAAATTTGTCATTAAGTTTGTGTAAACAATTTAAATTTTATTATTGATTAATTAACTTATGTAGTTATGTGTTTACATTATAGAAAGTACCTGTTGCATGTGTTCCGACTGGTGTTAAATATCTTCATCATAAAGCCAATGACTATGATGTTGGCATTTATTTTGAAGCTAATGGTCATGGTACTATATTATTCCAAGACGCTATACGTGAACTTATTCGAAATCAATCTGCTATTGAAAAAGATGAGTATGTTCACTATTATATTTTATTTAAAATAATAAAGTTACCATCACATTAAAATAATATATTTTGCCTAAGAATAAAAAGTGTTTGAGGTTTGCAGATCAGATTAAATATTTTGACTTTGGTTTAAACTACCTACATTATTTTATTTTATTTATTAGATCTAAAATAATCAAATGTGTTGTTAAATTTTAAGAGCAATGTCACTGGCACTGAAGAAATTGATTTGCATTATGGATATGACTAACGAAACTGTAGGTGATGCTTATTCCGATATGCTGCTTGTTGAGTCTGTACTTTGTGAACGAGGATGGAGCATAAGTGATTGGTATAAAACATACTCTGATTTGCCAAACCGTCTGACAAAAGTTACTGTTAAGGTAATGTATGGGAATTCATTTGTTTGACAATAATTAATTGTATAATATGTAAAATATTAGGACAGAAATACATTTGAGACTGGTGACGCTGAGAGAATTTGTATCAAACCACCAGGCCTTCAAGGAGTAATAGATTCTATTGTGTCAAAGTATTCTATGGGCAGATCTTTTGTCAGGTAAAATACATTATGGTATATAATGGATATATTTTTAAAAATTGTATTGAATAAGTTTAATACTTGGAAATTATCAGCTACAGTAGTTGACAATAACTTTTTGTTTGTTATTAATATGTGTTCTTTGTTGAGAGGGAGTTGGCAATAATAAGTAGCCAAATATTTAACTTGGAAGATATGATATAATTTAATGTAAAACATATTGTGCAGTTATTTGTGCAATGACCAATAATTATAATTGTTTTTATTCAAATAATATACATCCATTTTGTAGTAAATACTAAAGTTTTTCAATTTTTTACCTTGTAGACCTTCTGGTACAGAAGATCTGGTGAGAATTTATGCTGAAGCAGACACTCAAACCAACGCTGATAAACTTGCTGTTGAAGTGGCTACCGCTGTTTACGATATAGCTGATGGTGTTGGAAAAAAACCAGAATAAAATAGACTTTACAAAGTATAATTTAATGTGTTCAAATATAGTAACTATACAGGGTTAATAAAGCATACTTGATTTAAGTGATTATGTATTATTATGCTGGTACACATTCACGAAAATTAAATTTTTTTGATATATCTACGTTCAGTTTTTATTGCATAACATATTTTTGTGAAACTAATAGCTAATTTTAGAAGAGAAATATTGTTTGAATTTGATTATATTTAAATACTTATATAGTATATACATAGTTTATGTCAATGTTACGAGATCTTTATTTTTAAATTGTTTGTGTTTCTATTTTTTATATGATGTTATAATGATTAAATAATATTAAAATTAATTTAAAATCTAACTTAATATTGTACAATAAATTATGGTTGAATTGTTTTGAACTGTAAATCATAATAATTAGAACAATGTTGATAATTACTTACCTTGCACTCGTGTTTTTAAAAAAGCTCTTTTATGACCGCGTTGAACAAGTAACACCAGATAGTGTTGGCTGGCGAGGAGCCCATTTAGTTGTATGTTTGTTTCATTGTTTTCATTACAAATTAAAACACTATACTACTATTACTAAAAAAATATTGTACATTTATTTATAATTATGTTGTAACAATAGTCAATATATCGACAAATTAATACATTGTTCATTGTATTATATAATATTTACATGAAGTGAAAGCAAATATTTTACATTTGAAATGCTTAAAATTTCAATTTAGTTCTACTAATTAATTAGGCCCAAATCCAATTAAACATTGTGAACTTCTTCAGTCAAATTAAATGTCTTATGACTGACAAATACTGCTATGTAATCATATTATATATGTTCTATATGATTCAATATAAATAATTTTTACTTTAGTTCATTTTTCCTGTTTACTAATTCTCGTATCTTTTTAGTTTTACTTCTATTTTTTTCCTTAATAAACTGCGTTAAAAACACCTACTTCAGATCATGCCTGTATTAGTTTATTACTAGATTTTCTTGGGGGCAGATACCTAAAACACAAATCAGAACTCCTGTGGATATTGAATATGAATTTCAATTCATTATCTTTTAACACCAATATTAAATGAATACATTTCTTTAATTTATTATTTTACAATTTGTACATAGTATATGTTACATGTTACATAAAGTACATATTATGATCAATGTTGTAATTATAGAAATATGTAAACATTTTAGTTGTGTGTTTCACGGTACCTATATGTACTTAAAATAAAAAATATTATTAATGACATGTAAGAGCTTACATGAGTTTGCATAACATCCAAGATCAGAATTCAGAAATGTAAGTTATAAAGCATGATCTATATTGGAATAATATTAAGCTTTATTTATCAAAGCTGGGTAGCTAACCAATTTTTCTAATCTGTAGGGTTAATATAGAAAAATGAATGGAAAATTAAACATTATTTGTAAATTCTAATTTTTGTTGATGCTGAGTTTGAATAGTATTAAAACATATTAAGTAATATATTATGCAATTATACCAAGCATAACAAGTCACGAAATTGCAAAAAGAAAAATGAGGAGTTGTAATCAATAATACATGGTTGATTTCAAAGTCCTCTATCATATTCACGGAGAATGTTGCACAAACATGCATAAAATATATTTTTATTGTTTGATTTAAGAAAGTAATATAATTAAAAATAAGATATTGATGCAATGAAATATAATTTTTCAAAGCTTAAAAATTTAGATCCATATACATTTTAAACAGCTTTGTACACTTTTATATCAGGTACCACCACATTTTATTTCAAAGTTTATGTTCAGAAACTATAGGTTCTTGAGTAAACATTTTTAGAATTCACGTTAGGTATCTATAAACAATAATTTTTAATATTTTTAAAATAATATAAAAATATGAATTTTAATATTATATAAATAACAATCACAATTTAATAAGGATACGGTACATAATTTTCATTAATATTGAACAAATAAAATATATGAATTCTTTAGACTTTAGAGTATCACTGTAAATTAACATTTCGACAATTTGATCAGTCTGCTACTAAATATTTTTTTTATAATATTCAAATTGTTCAAGATATTAAAATAAATGTATAATAAATACTTATTACTTGATGTTACAGTCGAATAAAAAAGGTGCATATTGGATAAGTTATTAGTTTGTAATGAACATGTTTAAATAAATATATAACAATAATAATAGTAGAGGATGATTAGAACATTATAAACAAATATTTAAAATAATATTATAATAGAGATTGAGGTTTAAGCAGCAACATCAAAGAATCGATCCAGCATGGCGGACACTTGAGCTGGAGTGTACTTGACATATTTTTCTGGGTTTTTGGTAAACGACGACTGCGAAAATCTGTAAACACACATTTTTATATTTGAGTTGCTCAATAAATTTTGTTTCAATTAACTTTTTAAAATTAAATTAAATTGCATATGATGATGCATTGATGCATAATAATTTATTACTTGTCATAAAATGCACTGTATTTTGGTAAGACAAATTCCTTGTTGTCACGCTTCAACCCTTCACGTAATTCAACATCAGGTATTGTATAACCTCTTTGAAGCTTAAGTACTTCTTCAATTTCTTTATTAAAACCCTATACAAATCATAACAAAACAATATAGATTTAATGTTTGTAATAATTGTTTTATAACGTGAAAAATACAAAAATGTTCTTAAAAATGCTATAAAATGTCATTTTAATTAACTCATGTAACATTTTTATCAATACAAAATCTACATACATTACAGTGAAGAAAAAAAGAACGTCATGTTTTTCTTACCAGTTTTTATTTGGTAGTAATAAAATGCATGCATATTAAAATTAATACAATTTCTAAGTATCTGACCGTTATATAATTTAAATGTGAGGATTGAACAACTTACAGAAAACCTCTCTTTTATTATGTTGCGGTCCTTATCCTTGAGTCTGCCATTTACAACTTGAACATCATCCAAATTAACTATGAAACCTAGAATTCTATTCCAACTGAAATTGATAATACAATTATTAATTAAATGATACAAATATAAATATCAACTAATAAATGTTATTACCATTGTTGATACGACTTTTTATGTGATGCAATCATCTCATCATACGTATTTTCACATTCGGGTTCGGTCAAAGAAACTATATCCAATAAAGATGACCTTTGTAATGATTTGACCACATAGTGACAATTGTTCAAACGAAATAAATATTTGACACCTGGTTCGCTGTATGAGTCACTACGATTCACAAGCATTAGATTCAACTGAGACAACACTTTCTCTGTCAAAATGTAATAGTTATAAGGACTGAACGTTTCTTGGATGTATAACTAGTATTTACTTACTAATATAGAGTCCTAACAGATATTTGTATTTTTCTGGTGGAGTGATATGATGTGATACCATGTTGTTATATAAGGGCACTTGAGCTAAAAGAGGACCCACACTGTCTATATAGTCAAGAAGTTGTTCCATCAATACAAGCACATCACTAGTTAATTGATAAACGGTACCGTCTCGTGGTAACCCCATAGAATTGTCAGTCCTCACACTTTCAACTATTTCTTCTAGTGTTCTAACCCCCTAATCATTAAACATAATAATGTTATAAGTTATCACAAAATAAGAGAGGAACGGAGAAGGAGGATTACTAACCGTGGAGTGAAGTGTATTGAGTATAATTGAATATTGACCTCTAATGGTGGGATCACAGCCTTCCATGGTACGTTCGAATTCAGACTTCATGGCAGCCAAATGTTTTAAAATTGGAAACATGACAAACAAATTGGCAAATTCTTTTCTATGAATACATCTTTTTGCTCTAGTAGCTATGCTCTGCAATCAATATATTATATTATTTAGGCACATTATTAATTATTACGAATAAAATAAAATATTTATACATTTGCAGAAGGACAATAGTGTATCGACTAAGTTTTGTAATATAGTTAATAGTAAACATTATAAAAAACCATATCAATATTAATATTAATGTAATACCTCTCCTTCATGAACAATGTTAGTGAGGCTTTCTTGAATAATTATTTGGAATACTTGATGATGATGTTTGATTGGTATTATACCAACCATCAGTGACAGCTCTGCTTGCATGAGTTTTTGCAGAGCAATTACAGAAATAAGATAATTTTCCATTTCTTGTTCATCAACAATGTCTTCGCGGTTTTCTGAACAGATGTTTGACATACATTTTGATAAAGTTATACAAAATCACAAATTAATAATTACTAATTACCTATAAGTGTAGGTCTCCTGGTCCCTAAATTCAAACCCGTCGACTGTCCTAATGTTTGAGATGCTTTCAAAAACATACGATTAGCTTTTTTCTCAAATCTAGAACAATAAAACTAATCAATCTGAAATACATTTTATACAAGTATTAACTTACACGTGCTGGATCCGTTTAGAAGTTTTTCTAGTGACAGTAACTTCAGATCTATGAGGAAATTTGGACTTCTAGAGTGGGAAAAATATGTTTAACTCTTCAATAAATAATCATATTTATTACAGTTAATTTGAAACATACTACTGACGGTGAACCCATAGTCTGTCCAATGGCCATATTAGTGCTTCCAGCACTTCCAGTTTTCTGGTATTCCTTAAGAGTAGTCATTGATTTGGTGAGAGTGTTAGCCCGTACTCTAGCATACACATTCATGTATTCGTCACGAGATTGACTGATTAACCAATCTGCTAAACGAATTAGATCCGAAGAAACAGTTTCAGAAAAATGGCTTATAGAACTCACGGAAGATGAATCATCAGTTATCAACTCTATGGAATTATAAATTAATAAAAAAAAATTCAAATTAACTATTTTATTAGAAGTAAATTTAGTAACCATCATCATTTGTAGAAATATCAATCAAAATTGCTGGTTGAACATGTCTACTATGCTTTAAAAGAATCTCTTTGAACTCTCTCTGGATACTATCTCCTCCAGTCTTAAACAGTGACGACTAAAGTAAACCAAATAAGACTTATTTAATTATGTTAAAAATAAATAAAAATTTAATTTAATTTAATATACCACATTTTCTAGTTCAACACTTTGAGGATTATTTTTTTCAAAATAGTTTTGTGCCTCACGTAGTTTTTCCATGGCGTCCAAGTACTCATTCAAACCATCCGACCCATTTGGTCTTCCTAAAATAATCGATTCAACCCTTGGACACACATCATGGAACATAATCACTCTGTCCAATGCAAACATTGTTTTTTCAATGTCTAAAATATTAACAAATGCTTAGAAATGAATAATTATTATATTGTTTCACAAAAAATGACTAAACTCTGATCATACTTGTCTTTTTCAGCTGTAGATTCTCCATTTCATTATAAATCGGCAGTATAGTTTGTTGAAGTCTACCAAGTCTGTTTTCAAACGATGTAAGGATATCAACCATTTTTTCTGATAGTTGGTTATTACGTTGAACTTGTTATTTAAATGCATCTAAATTCTGCCGCTCCTAATAACAATTTGTTAATATATGTTATTATGTAAGATTCTTTGATACAAGTTGTATAAACATAAAACAGTAGCATAATAGCATAATACAATATTGGTTTAGTTGATTTTTTCTAGAAATACCTAAAAGTGATTTTTAATACATTTAACAAGTTGTAAAATCATTAATAATTTACATAATTTTTTTTAAAAGTTTTCTCAGACAATTCGATGTTAGATTAGCTGATGGGATACCAAAAGCTGTTTCAATATTCATTAATTTATTATTAAACTATGTATTTATTAAAATTTCTTCTTTTCTACCTTTTCTAATTTTCCACTGGAATCCATAATTCTATGCGTTCATGAAAAAAATTTATTGAATTTAATTATTTTAAACTGT